CCCCCCCCCGGCCTGCTGGGCCTGCGCCTGGGCCTGGGCTCTCCTCGGGGGGGGGCGCTTCACTGGGCGGAGGGGCGCTTCATGGGGGTGGGCGCTCTTCACCGCCTGGCGGGCTTTAAAATTATTTTTGGTGCTTGGTCAGCAATGTTGTGTTCCCCCCTCCCGTTTATAAAGGTGTAAAGTTATATATTATATCTTTATAAAGGGGGGGGGGCGGTCAGTCTCCTCTGGAGCTGTAAAGATGTAAAGTTATATATTTATACATTATATCTTTATAACGAGGGAGCTGTAAAGAGGGTGGTGGTCAGCCAAATGGGCTGATGCTCACCTCTCCCCCAGCCCTGGTCACTGCACTGAGCGACCCGGATACATGCCCATCTCCCCATCATCCCCCAACTTTGAAGTGTCGTTGGACTCTTGAAGTGCTTTTTTCCCCATTTTTTCTCCTTTATGTGGTAAAAATGAACAGGTTTCTAATCAAAGCCGTGTCCTTCTGTTAGTGGCTGGGGGGGCAGGGGGCGTAATTTGCTTGGGCGTGTTTTTATTTTTCATATTCTTAAGGGAGGGTTTTTGCAGGAGCGCAGGTTTTAAATCCTTGTAAACTTAATTTCTGAAACCTGTGTGTGTGCGTGTGTGTCCTCCCCCCCACAAGTAACGGGTCCTGTTGAGAAGTATACAGCATTTCATTTGGTTATTCCTGCGGTTTGTTATTTCTTTAGTTCTACAGTTTACTGAGTTTAACCTTCATTTACCTGTGTGTGTGTGTATAGATCTAGAGATCTACTTTGAACATCTATCTACATCTGCCTAGAAATCTGTCTACATCCACTTAGACATCTACCTTCATCCACTTGGATATCTACTTAAATATCTACCTAGACATCCACTTAGACATCTACCACTTAGCTATCTGCTTAGACATCTACCTTCATCCACTTAGACATCTACCAACATCTACCTAGAGATCTATAGAGAGAGCGAGCTAGATAGGTAGATGTTTATATTTTTACATATATTCATTTCCCATATTTCTGTTAGTCTCATATGCAGTAAAGCGGGGAGGGGGGGAGAGAAACATTTGCTGTGTAAAATGCCCTGTGCAATCACAAATCTATCAGCGGGTGCGTGTATAGTAATTGAGATGGTCTTTAAGCCCTGAATGCTTGTGTTTCCAGTTGTGTACTTTTAATAGTTTCTGTTCGCACCATGAATTTATTTCACTGCATATTAAATGAATGCCCTGTAAGATATAACAGAATGAACTATTCTTAATTGGTCCTGAGATGTTACAGTGAACTTCAGTAAGGATGTCAGGCCTTGCCTTGGCCAGAAGCTCAGACTTGGGTAATATGCCGAACTGCACATCAAGAAGAATGACATGATAAATGTTTAGGGCAGTTAAAAGGTTGAATCCAGTTTTGATGAATGGGAACATCTTTTCTGTTTCCAGGAGTGGGCATAATTTGTGGCTGTTTGTCCTGATTTCTGATTTATAATAACAGTAACAGCCTTTTAATGTCTGGATCCAGCAATGTTTAACTCATCGGGTGGCTGCAATGCAGACCTAAAATGTTAAGGTTCCTTAAATGAGCAATACTATTATTAACACTCAGTGCTGCAGAAATCCAGTGGATGCTAATTCACTGTCTGAGATGTTTAGCACCAATATTCCACCAGTTTATATTCTGCTAAATTATTTTTTAATTTATTTTTTTAAATAATTTTTAATTATTTTAGCCCAAAGCATGTTTCATGGACATCAGTAAAGTGTTTCAGAAGCATACAAGGTGTGTGTGTGTGGGGGGGTATGTATGTATATGCACACATACCAAAAAAGCATCCTGTCGGTGTTCTGATTCTGCCATGATTATTTAGTGGGTGTATGGTTCAGCTATGTAAGTCACATTTGCAGTGACTTGTATTGGCATCATGTAGGTTGTCTCTGGCCCTTATTATAATAATTATTTTCTCCAAACTTTTCAAGCTGAGTAACACTTGCCCATGACAAATGAGGTGGATTCACAGAACATCTCCATTTTCATTTTATCAGCATTTCCATGGTCTTGTATTTTTCACTGAAGTAGAAATTACGTTTGGAATCCCTGCCATTGTTAAAATGCATATTTAAGGATACATCTCTCAGTTACAGCAGTCATTTGATTTTTAAAAGAAGATCATCCCTTGTCGGTGTGAATGGAGGCACACTCAACCCCCCCCCACAAAAAACCCTACAAATAAAACAAAATCCAAAAAATCTGCTTGTTTCAGGGTGCTGCAGAAAGACTTATTCTAAACCAGCCAGCCAGCCAATGGGGAACATGTAGCTGGATTGTATGCAGAACTGCTGGCTGGACACTTTCATTATGTAGTAGTTATGTTATGCATGCTAAACTTTTGTGTTTCCAATAAAATCTTATTTTTGTCGATTTACTTTCTCTTGGTCTGGATCATGGTACTTATGATTTCTAACTACTGAAATCCTTTCTTTTTGGTTTACATATTGATTTAAAACAGTGGACACTTATCCTTATTTCCTTTGTAAAACAGAAATAAAATATAGGGCACACAGTGTCTTTGAATTAAAAGAAGGGTCTCTCTGAGGTTTTGAAAAAATGCTACCTTTAATTTTTTAACTCAGTCTGGCACCACAGCATCTAAAAGCATCAGTCAAAGTGCACAGTGTCTTAAAATTATTTTACTTTACACTGTATTGTGAGCCCATAAACAAATAAGAACTCATATTAACAAGCATTCACTGGAGAGGGCACCCTCTATAATACCTGCCTGTGAAATGTAATGTAAAAACTGTGTGTTTTTAGCTCAAGTTACTTTTCCTTAATTGTGAAATAATGAAACTATCTAAAAAACAAACACCTTTGTGTCAGTCATGCAGATTTGTAGAAGTGTAAAACACGATGAGAAAACCAAAATAACACAACACTTGATGGGTTGGTTCATGTACCCATTGACAGATTAGTTAGTGCATGAACTTTTAAGACTTAGACCTCTTATTTTTTAAATAAGCTTAACGTGATGTAAGTCCCTTCCCTCCCCCCCCCAAAAATCACACTAGGAAAATGATGTAAATTCAGCCTGTGGTGAAGAACTTGATTATTTAGTCTCTTTGTGGTAATACATTGCTCTTCATTTATTCTTAGACTTTATCCTCAGGTAGAATTTAGTGTCAATTTTATCCCTCCACCTAATTTAATAGGAGAGTAACATTTGTTTTTGAAGACCTGATAATTTTAAACAGTGAAGCTCCCTTTTAGCAGTCAGAAATGGCCATTTACACAAGGTAAATGTCTTGCTCTCACTTTTTAGTTTCCCTTTCCTTATTGGGAAATGAGCAATCAACTTAGTTCACCGCATATACATTTTGGTGGCTGCCCTTTTTCTAAATTAGCTTATTGGAATCTATGAGGTTCAACTTGGGTTGACTGTTAAGTCATAAAACTGTAGCAACATACAGAAGCTTAAAAAGTGCACATGCTAGGAGGAATATAAGGACATATTTCTGCCTGGAAGCATCTTGAGACACATCTTGTGAATTTATTTAAGTAAGTCGTATTGCATAAATATTTCCCGTCTTTCCTTTTGGAGTGTAAGTACGTCCAAATCTCTAGTCCCTATACATTTTTTTTTAATGGAAAATGTCTACTTACAATATAGACGGACAGAGGAAATATTTCAAATCCTGCCTTCAATCTGAAGCGTTTCTCATTTGGAGTACATCAGTACTGTACAATAGGTTCCTCCCAGTTACAGGCCTGATATGCAGGGGCTGTATGTTGTGGTGTGGCTGTTCACTTTTTATGGCGCTTTTAAGGCACCTGAAATGTGAATGTTGTGCCCCTCTATGCTCTAAGCCTGCTTTTCTGGCACAAATAAGGCAGTTTTGAGGCAAATATATATTTGTAGTACTTACGTTGGGCATCATGGCCGTGGGGTGATATTTCCCTGAATTAAAAATGAGCAAGGTTTTTGTAAGACAAAACTCTCCCATGAGACCATAACAATGCAACTTTACCAGAATGACATTAAGACTGAGCATACAGGCTAAAAATGTAGGGTTTTGGGTCTGGTTGTGGAAGGCCAGAATTAAATGGTGTATTTTATAGGGCTTCCCAGAGCAGATGAAATTTAGGTAGAGAACTGCTCCCTGGTTAATAGTGCTAGTCATTAAAGGTTCTGCCTTTCCTGCTTTTCAGCCTGACCCTGAACAAAGTATTCAGTTTAGCAGGGGTGGCCAGCCAGCAGCATGCATGCCAGAAGTGGCACAGGCAGCCTCTGCATGTGGCAGATGGGGGAGGAGAAGAGCAGCAGATCAGGGAGGAAACAGAAAGCAGTGCAGCACATCTGGGGGTGGCAAGGGAAGGAAGTGATGCTTGGGGAAGGTGTAGGGCTAATTTGTAGCTTGCCTGCCAAAAAGCTTGTTCCCCACTGGATAGTGTGTGAATGGTGGGCTAGAGATGATGCTGACCCTTGTAGTATTTGTTCTTGAGACTTTATAAAAAGATGCATGTGATGTGAATTACTTGTGAATCACCTGTGTTGATGGTGACTGGTGATTACAACACTTAGCACTAGCTAAAGTTTCACCATGGTCTTTGGAGTGGAAACTGCTATCCTTTGAGCTACATACTGGAAATACAGGCACAAATAACCTTTATGAGGTGTGTGGGGTGGGAGGTACAGGGTTTAGTTGCTTGGTCAGTCAGATGATGGGAGATATTTCTAGACACAGTTGCAATCTGGGAATGAAAGAAGAGCCGGTTTTAGTGATACAGTGTACCTAGTCTTAAAACTGGAAAAAGGCCTTGTGTTTATCCTGACTTAATGGAAAATAATGTTCATTAAGTATAGAGGGTTGTCAGTATCAGCCTTGAAATATGTTATCTGAAACCTTGAAAGTGAAGGGGGCTAGTGGATTTTAGGGCTGGAAACAGTACC